GAAAGACGCCCCCCCCTTTTTTTTTTTGCAAGGTCTCATGCCATAGATTTTATTGAAGCAATTATTTAACGACCTAATTCTAGTGTGCTTTTCTTTTCCTTCTGTCCCTGGGTGGAAGCCACCGGCCTTCTCTCACTACCACGGCTTGTTAATTCCATTTCCCTCTTCCCCTCCAATAATATGTCTGGGTCCCAATTATATCCCAAGACCCAATTCGGATCCCACTAACCCAGCAGCCACTCTACTGAAGTCAATGGAGTTCCATGCGTGTGGAAATCCGTATGCAACCAGAGGAGACGCAGACCCCCACTTATTTCAAACACTTTATAATATTATTTCAAAGGGCGAAAGATTCTAGCATCCACACTACTGGTTCAAAGCAACAATGCCACTTTATTTTAATTTTCTTTCCCACAGCTTGTCCTTTAAAAGGCACACAAGGTTTTACTGTACCAGGCGTCTAAATGCGTTATTAACTGCTAAGATTACAAACCTCATTTCGGATTGTGTTTTTAGCCAGAGTAAAGTTTCGTTTCTTGGAAAATTGCCCACATGTGTAAGTTGTTTTGCTTCTCTTCAGACCAGGAATTTTTTCCCCCCCTCTCACCACTTGCGGATTTTGAACAGACGGCGGTATTCAGACTCAGAGGCAGCACAGGAAATGGTAAAGGTAGATCCTTCTGCTTTTAGGCTACAGAAACTTATTTCACTTTTTTAAAGAAATGTTTTACTCTTCGGGACCTTTTTGATGATGATGATGATGATGATGGTTATTCGCCCTCCTCGTCAGTTTTGCAAGCACCCCTGACTGAATTTCCTTTCATAACCTCTTAGACTTGTGCAAATGTAAACATCCTGTTTGTTTCATGCTGAGTTTTGATTTCTGTTTCCTGTCTCTTTTTATTCCTTTTCAATCAGTTATTAGCTTGGTTATAATTATTTAATGCTGAATGTTCTTCACAGCTGCAGAATGAACGCTAGGATATTTGGGGTTATCTTGGAATCTCGCCCTTCAATCTCTCGATAGCTATGAAGTTCACTCCCAACTTTTTATTCACTCTATATTGCCCTTATCTATTGAAAAGAAAAACTGCATGACACAGTGAATTTCTCTTAAATGACAATATAGGGTACATATTGTGCACAGACGCCATATTGGCCTCTTGGCTCAGAAATCCTGGATCAAATCCTACAATCCTTACTCAATTCTGGCTTAAGATAAAACTGCTATTGAGGTCAATGGGTTTTTTTTTTCTTTTTTTTTTTTTTTGCCGGAGAAAGGAATACCGGATCAGAGCTTTTGTGTTCGCAGAACTTTTCCATCTTCTTCAAGTGGACGATAAGGAAGAAAAATCTCATGGAAAAAGGTGCCATTTCTAATAGATGACAACAATAGTTTTTTTCTTTAAAAAAAAATAGTGGTTAAATATGTTTCCGGTAAGCAATGGATCATCTGTTTTTTCTTGTGCCAGATCTTATAAATCAGTAAAATGTGACTGTTACACAGAGTTACAATCTGCGTATTTAAAAGACACTTTATATGTGCCTGTTTTCAGCATAGAACTTTCCACCCAAGTAGCTGATTGTTCAGGGTGAAATTTGGCAAATGTGTATTTCAATGAGAAGAGCTATTTAAAAATTATTTCTTCCCCTCCCGCAAACAATAAATATTATTTATAAATAGCATCTGGGTTCAAAAAGCTTTGGCTTTCCAGTTCAAGCACAAAATATTTCGCATTTTTCCTCACAGCCAAAAGGATTTGGAAAGTTTGGCAGGGATGCTGAAAACAAAACAAAACAAACAAAAACAAGCTACTCTTCTAGATTTCTGGGAAATAACTGTTCCCAGTTCCGCTTCCTGTATCCAGTTCATAAATGCCCAGCTCTAAAATGAATCCAACTAGTACATAAATCAAGCAGAACTTGTACATCATCTGTGCAAATATACCAAAGTTGCACCAATGCAATTTACATTGAGACTCTCGAATGAGGTCAATTTCTCTTTTGCTTTTCCTGGTCCAAGTTATTTGCAAAGCACTTAACTTTTCATGCTGTTTCTGGTGTATGTCGTTATTATTATTCAATTCTCTAAAATGTACACCAAACAAAACAGTACACACATAAAAGTGCATCCTCACAACAGATAGATCTGGTATTAAAATATAGCTGTGAAGAAGACCTCAGACCATCCTCCAGCCCTCCTGCCCCCCAAAAAAGGATACAAGAAGATGAAATATGGTGGTGTAAATTAAAAATAAACCACTGGACAAACAGAAACCTCCAAAGTAGCCAAAATAGATTAATTCTGCAGATCTCCTTGTGTGGTTTCCATTCACTAGGGATCGCAAGACCTTTGGATTCTGTTTCAGAGTTACACTCTTGCAGTCTTTTGGGTTTTAATTTATATACTACAGAAAAGTATCTACTCAGCAGCTGACATGCGTCATAATTATTTATAGGAGGTGCACTAGGATTTTTCCAAGAATATATTTATTACAGGTAAGACATGTCCAATTTATCTTGCAAACCCAGAACAGGTGTTTGGCTTCAATTAATGTTCAATAGTTCCATACACACTTATTCACCATCACCACCACTGCCGTGGCTGTTTATCCAACATTTATATCATAAACACACTCCCACCAGCCAACCAAGTTTGAGCGCCACAATGCACTTAAATCTGTCCACTCCTTTTCAAGCTATCATAACATTTGGAGAGTTCCTCCGAATCCGTTATGAGAGAGACTGAGTTTTGGAAATCATTCCTGGAAGGCAATAAAGCTGAGAAAGATGACAAGTACGCAGCAAGCTCCTATTTCACTTTTAATAACATGGGGGTATTTTCATGTCGGAGCCTCTTCGACTCTTAGGGAAGTTTAAAAAAAAAGTTAGAAAACGCAAGGATTACCCAAGGCGTTTCACACAACCCCTTTTTGTTACTGGTACACACTGGGGATTGTTCCTGAAGGAGTCGGTCCCGCACACTTACCCAAGAGAATAACTATGATGAGATGAGTAGCCCCATGGAACTCAGTGGATCAGAATTCTGTTCTTCCATCGATTTATATCCAATTGGAAATGGAGTTACTTTGGATTCACCCTGATGTAAGTGAGGGCAGAATCCGAACCAGTGGGACTCCTCACCTGTGTAAATGTATTCACGGCACTATTTCAAGATCCCAGACCGGTAGATATGAAAATATTATAAAAGGGTCTGCAAACCGTTAAAAATTACGCTTTTCTTGTTATTGTCAGATGTATGTATCGATGTGATTAAAAATATGAAATACAGGATTGAATATTTACTATCCTTACACACCCACCAGCCCGATTTATTTTAGAGAAGAGCCTATTTACTAACAAGAACTCATCTAGAAGAAGACACATCCAGGAGATTTAGACATATGTCATTCTACACATTCTGTAGCTGACTTGCTTGCATACGACACATTTTGTAGGAATTAAGGGAAAATGTAAAGGCTTGGAGGTTGGTTTTTAAGTGCCTTTAACATTTTCCACTAGTAAAATGCCTTTGTCTTAGGGATATTTCACGCACATCTATAGCTATATCTTTATCAATATAGTAAGAGAGAGAGAGGAGAAAGATTTGTTTTGTTTTCTCTTAATTTGAAGATGGTCACTTAATACCCAATATCTGATGATTAGTCCGCTCCTAAAGACATATCAAATATACATCAGAGCCAATTTAGAAAATATTCTTAATGGGTAATATTAGCCAGTTATATTCTATTAACTTTAAAAATAATTCTGTGTTAGGAGAAGAACTCTAGCGAGATACAAGGAGGCAAATCCAGCCAGACTGTAGCTCAGATGAAGCCCGGGGATAATTTTGCACATAGTCACAGTAGAATTTAACCGACATTTAAAATCTTAGTGTAACCCTCTTGGAAAGAATGCATCTCACATAATTTGGCTGGACGGTCGCTGTTTCCTCTGCGCTCCAGACTAGTTAGTAGCTGTTTCTCGTTAAAGCCTGTTACTCATTTCCTGAGCTATTAGCAAAAAGAAATCCACCCCATTTTAAAAAATCATGTTTACATACAAGTGGGGTATTTTTTCATATATGTGAATGTGGGAGTGGGGTAGGGTGGCGAGCCATAAACTGCAGCCTAAAATGTGAAAGACTCCTTCTCCTCCACCCCCCCCCCGGTTTCTTTTCCACAGGCAATAAATTCGAGGCTATAAAAATCAAAGAAAGCTAATGTAAGTGTTATTAAACTATTTAACCGTCACAAGTATAACGCGTTCTGTAACAAAGCAGGATCCGTGCCACACTGTATTTTACTAGCCTTGTAAAGTTAAAGGAAGGCTTCTAGTTTCAAGCGGTGTATTGCGACCATTTCAGCCCTAGCAACGCAATCCTAGGCTTATACTGGGGAAGTCCAGAGACATGCATTCTGACTTTTTCCATTTTAGACAAACCCAGCTATAGACAATGGAGGTATTATGGTCCGCCCGACAAAGTTATGATGTCAGAGACATGACAATGACATTTGAAATTTCAAATATACTCCGGTTAGTTTCCTGTGTTAAGAATCCAATTTTTGACCCATTCCAGAAGGGTTAGTGCTTTATAACCAGCCCCTTCCCTAGTTTAACAGCGCATGAATCTCTCTGGCTAATAACTAACTTTTTGGCCGAATTGTACATATTCTCCGGCTTGTTACAATTGCACATGGGTAATTGAATGGCAAAGAATTGCTTCCCCCTCTCTCTCTTCCCCGCCACACGGCGGTTATTAAAGCCAGAGAGATCCGCGAGTTGTGCTTTTCCCCCCTTTATGTTTCAGAAGCAAATGTATGAAGGCGTATTAGCCCCACACTGTATGTTTCGTGGCTTTCTAAACTACTGACGTTTTGCAACATTGCATAAACATAAAACAATCCATCCTTGATATGGAATGCAAGGGCGAATGACAGCGGTGTTCAGCCCCCCTCGCCTTCGATTGATTTACGCCTCTACTGACGCTTTATCAGGCGCACGAAAAAAGTTTGACCAATCATTTTGCTAGGAGCTCACAACACAGCAGCCCAACTGTACTTTGTTGGCTAGGAAGTTGGAGAAGGGGGTAGAGTACAAATCCTAGATCTGTCCTATATATATATCTATATATATATATTTATATATATTATTTTTTTCCCTTCATTGAACCGTGCTTTGTATGATGTCTGAGAATGTCCATTTCTGGGACGCTTAGCAATTATTATGTCGACTCTATTATAAGTCATGACAGTGAAGATTCGCCTTCAGCTAAATTTTCAACTGGGCAATATACAAGTTCCAGGCAAGCTGGACATAATGATCATCTAGAATTCCCCTCTTGTAGTTTCCAGCCAAAACCTCCAGTTTTCAGCGCCTCCTGGACTCCTTTGAATCCACATTCTTCTGGTACCCTTCCTTCGGTCTATCATCCATATATTCAACATCAAAGCGTCCCTTCTGATAGCAGGTATCTACGAAGCTGGCTGGATCCAGTGCCCAGAACAGAGAACATACCCGGGCAGGGATCAGTTAAATCAGAGCCTCTGCTGGGGCACCCCGGGGAAGTCCATAAACCGGGAGCACAGGAGTACAATTTAGAAACTTCTGCTGGAAGGGAAGCGATCGTTTCCAATCAAAGGCCCAGCTTCGAGGACAATAAAGTTTGTGAAGGAAGCGAGGACAAAGACAGGACAGATCAAAGTAAGTTATAAAAGTGAGGAAGTAAACAGCATAAAAGCTGAGGCGGTACAATAAAACGGGACAATGCAAAGGAAAGTTAAAAATCATGTCTGAAAGAAAACGCTCAGATTACTGGTGCCAACCTAAAGGACAGGAGAGGGTGGCGGTGGAAAGAGGTGGTGGCGGTGGGGAAGAGAATGGCATTGCTTTGATTAAATCTCCTTAAGCAGTGTAGAGCCCAGAGCAAATGCAAAAAGCTTCGTCAAACCTTCCTCTTTGCTGGCATGCATTCTTCCCTGACTTATTCAAAACTCCAAAACCGTCGCTTTCCTAGCAAAGGGTGATGTTTGTGGGGAGGGGGTGGGGAACGTAAATATTGGGAGGAAAGGGAATGGAGGCTGAAAAGTGGAATAAAGTCGAGGGAGGGGGTGAGAAAAGAAAACGGTGGAAGAGTTCACGTGGAGAAGTAAACAGCAACAATGTCTATTTCATGCTAGCTGCTCTTATTTACCTTGAGAGATCCGAAGTTGACGGTCTGCCTCGTTGTTTCATCTGTCACGTTGCCTCTTTTTTGTTTGTTTATGAAATGTAACGGTAGGGTCTGGATACTTCAGAACCACGCTTCCAAACAGGAAAGGGGGTCTGCACTTAATTAGGTCTTTATTTGTACTGTAGCAGATTGGTGAACTGTTAAACCGAATCATGTGCCTCTTTCGTGAATTGTTTTCTGAAAAGTGGAGCAAACGCTTGCATTTCTAATACATGCATATCCATATATATATATAAAGCTTTGCCACACACACACACAGCTTTAGATACAAAACAAGGACATTCGAGCAAAATATCACGCGTGTTAGCTTCTCGTTAGCTCCTGCTTCTTTATTGTACCTGAAAGGTAAAACAGGGCTCTTCTCAGTCTAGAAAGAGGAGGGTGAACCCAGTCAAGATTCAGCACCGTTATCAATATTGTGTATGGAATGCACAAGTTTTTAAAAACGAACTTGACAGCCCAATTCATAGTGTATCCAGGACCAATATTCGCCGAAGGAATATCTCTCCAGCACGTTTAGCATGTGTAATTACACATTGATTTCTCCCCTCTCTTAAATTATCGTTATTATTATTATTTTTTTGCAACGTGTAACACATTTTGCAATTGCAACTACGTGATTACAAATAAAACTATACATTTTCCCGGTGTGCAGTGGGGGCGTTATGTCTATCATTTAACTTACCCAGTGCACAAAAAGAAAGTCCTATTCTATTGTACTGGGCAGAGATCCAGAACAAACTGCGGGTGAGGTGAATGATTTGGGAGAATTACAGAGCCAGGCTCGGTGCTCCATGTCCCTGAAACGGACTAAATACAAATCTTGTCTAGGACAGCGTTATGAAGGTGCAGGTATTCACGCTAATACTCTGTGGTTTCTACGGTACGTGGTTAAGACGCAAAATTTGTTTCAAAGAACAGTTTGATTTTGGTGGAGGTTGATAGAATGCCAGCAAAAAAAATCTGTAACAGGACTGGAAGAGGGAGCTGTTTTTCAGAGGGCATTCCCACCACTCCCCCGGGCTGTTTCGCTTTTTTGAAAATATTACATAATAAGGAAGCTAATGCCGCCACAAGATTTTCATGCATTTGTTGGATTTTAAAAGAACGACCTGCCCCAAAAACCATTTCTCATTGGCTTTCCTGGTTAAAGGATTGTATAGAGTCACTAGATCAACCTCTTTTCCTGTATAAAATGTCATGTTTTTTCCAAGAAGATCTTTTATGAAGAAGAGCCTCTTCGTTGCCATTAAAAGATAGGTAGCAGGACTAACGGTATCAATTATTAACAGCTTTCTTCCTCTTTAATATTTAATTCTGCATATTAGATCAAGTCAATTACATTAAGGAAATAGTCGTGCAAATTTGTAAGATGCAGTACTTACACTGGAAGATTAACAGGATTATTTTTAAAATATTCAATACATTTCCTTTTACGTCGAGGAAACATTCTGTTGGGGTGTTGTTGTTTTTTAATATAATGCTCCATTTAATTCATGTTAAGGTTTATGGCTTTATCTATAATTTCAGAAGAGGCAAAGGAAGTAAAACAGGAGAATGTGATCTGGTCATAATCTTTTCATTTTATTCCCCCAAGTTAACTAGCGGTCAGTCAGTTTAATGTTTATGTGTAATTAGTAGAAGTGTGCAAAGCATTTCTCCCCCCAAAATTGTTCAGCACACCTTCTTGGTGACAAATTCACCAGCATACCTTTGGCACCTAAAGCTAGTGTTCATCCTTTATTGCTGATCTTTGTTTCAAAGTCTTTTTGTCTCCACCTGGATTAGATGAAATTATTGGAACGTGTTTATAGAAGGTTCTTATTTCCAATGCCATGTTAAACGGGGAGGGGGATTATGCGTATGGAACTTTGCTCTTTTCTATTGCATTACTTACATTTATAATACAACAGCAAATGCAATTGTATTTCTGGAGAACATTGACCAGAGCCCACCGAAGTGATGTTTATTGTATTACGACTATTGCTTGGCACTTAGCAAAAAATAGGCATGATTTATTGATGCCTTATTCAGAAGTAATCTATATATTTTCTTAAGTACAATGCAGATGGGAATGGATATAGTCATATGTATACACACATATCTGCAAAATATGCCTATAGATGCTTAAATTACTCTCTGTCCATCTACAGACACACGTGTGTGTGGATTTATGCACATGTACACATACATGCATCTATACACGTATAGGTCCCGATCCTGCAAACACTTTAGCGCGTGCTTAATTGTACTACCTTGGAAAACAATGGGGCCACTCCAGGTGGTCAAGTTAAGCACGTGCGTAATTGTTTCCAGGATCGGGGTCCTATACATCAACCATACGCACAGGTGTGTGGATATACTTTTGTGAACATATCATCTTTTCACGTAGCCTTTTCCCGGTAACTCATAACTCAGTGGACATTTATTCATATATATATTTTTGATGGTATTATTGATTAAGACCATTCTGAGAAACGCACAGGATACAGAGTATTGATTTTGCTGCTTGTCTTTCAGCCAACCCAGCGGCCAACTGGCTCCATGCCCGCTCCTCCAGAAAAAAGAGATGCCCTTACACCAAATACCAAACCCTGGAGCTAGAGAAGGAGTTTTTGTTCAATATGTACCTCACCAGGGACCGTAGACACGAAGTGGCCAGACTCCTCAACCTGAGTGAAAGACAAGTCAAAATCTGGTTTCAGAACCGAAGGATGAAAATGAAGAAAATGAACAAGGAACAGGGCAAAGAATAAGATACAGAAGGCAAATGCCATGCTCTGTCTCGCAGCTTACTCTATATTTATGGGTGATAGCTTCCGAACTATAAAACAGTGGGGGGGGGGGGGGAGTTGGTTCCATCTTCGCAAGCCGGAAGTTCGTAATTTTTTTCTTATTGATGCCAGTTAGAAAGCTACTTATGTGAAGGTGCAAATCCTGATTTAGGACATATGCTGGGTTTTGTTTTTATTCCTTGTTTTTTTTGTTTTCATACAGTGTAGACATAGGAGGTCCATAGGCTGTGTTGCCATCAGGATATGATGCCTCTATTTTTTAAATGAAAGACAAACAAAAAATCCAATAACAACCACCACCTTGTCACAAATAAACATAGTCCATGCCCACGACACATCCCATTGTCTTTCTGTAACCACGATAAGGAGAATGACTGTGTCTCTTAACTGATCCCCACCGCACACCCACATACATAAGTTGAAGTGGCAAAGAAACCAGACCATTTACTAGACGACAGACACATTCTTAAGATTTGAGTTTACTTGCATACAACAAACCATTTTCAATTCACCAACTTTATAGCAGTGTATTCGGATTAATGACAGTCAAATATCCCACTGTGCCTCTGTTTTTATTTTTGTATTTTTTATTGTTTTAATCGCTCTGTGGTGGATCAGTGACGTTGACCAGAGAATTTAGTATAATCTTAGAAATAATCCTCCCAACCTGGTAGTTTTATATGGGATCATTTGAAAAGTCTATCAGAACAAAAGTGTTAATTGTTTAGACAAAAAAAAAAAAACACCAACCAAAC